CCCCCCCACAGGCACACTTTCTCTCTCTCACTATCTCTCAAATAAATCAAACTTAAAAATAAAATATGTCTCTTAGGTATATATCTGGGAGTGCAGTTGCTAGGTCATATGGTAACTCTATATTGAAATTTTTTTTTTAAATTCTAGTGTGGTTAACATGCAGTGTTGTGTTAGTTTCAGGGGGACGGTACAGTGACTCCGTCCTTCCACACATCCCTAATGGCTCATCAGGACAAGTGGCTCCCACTTCTCCTCATGAAGCTCCCCATCCCCCACCAGCCTCGCCTCTGGTGACCCTTTGTTTGTTCCCTGTAGTTAAGAGTCTGTTTTTGGGGTTGTTCTTTTTTTTTTCTTCTTTTGCTCATTTGTTTTGTTTCTTAAATTCTATATGAGTGAAATCACGTGGTATTTATCTTTCTTGGACTTACTTTGCTTAGGATTATACTCTCTAGCACGTGGCAAGATTTCATTCTTTTGATGGCTGAGGAATGTTCCACTGTATATGTACACCACGTCGTCTTCATCTGCTCATCCATCAGTGGACACTTGGGCTGCTTCCACAGTTTGGTTATTGTAGATAATGTTACTATGAACATAGGGGTGCAGGTATCCCTTCAAATTAGTGTTTCTGTATTATTTTGGTAAATACCCAGTAGTGAAATTACTGGATTTGTAGAGTAGTTCTGTTCTTAATTTTTTGAGGAACCTCCACACTGTTCTCCACAGTGGCTGTACCAACTTGCATTCCCACCAACAGTGTAGGAGGGTTCCCCTTTCTCTGCATCCTCGCCAGCATCTGTTGTTTCTTGTGTTGTTGGTTTTAGACACTCCAACAGGTATGAGGTGATCTCTCATCATGGTTGCGATCTGCATTTCCCTGAGGATGAGTGATGTTGAGTATCTTCTCATGCATCTGTTGGCCATCTGTTTGTCTTTTTTGGAGAAATGTCCGTTCATGTCTTCTGTCCATTTTTTAATTGGATTATTTGTTTTTTGGGGTGTTGAGTTGTATAAATTATTTATATGTTTTAGATGGTAACCCATTATTTTCCCAGTCAGTAGGCTGTCTTTTAGTTTTGTTGGTCTCCTTTGCTGTGCAGAAGCTTTGTATTTTGATGAAGTCCCTGTAGTTTAGTTTTGCTTTTCTTTCCCTTGCCAAAGGAGACATGTCTTGAAAAATGTTGCTGTGGCTGGTGTCAGAGAAATGACTGCCTGTGCTCTCTTAGAGAATTTTTACAGTTTCATGTCTCATATTTAGGCCTTTAATCCATTTTGAGCTTATCTTGTGTATGGTGTAAGAAAGTGGTTCAGTTTTCCTAATACCATTTGTTGAAGAGACTTTTTCTCATTGCATGTCCTTACCTTCTTTGTTGGAGATTAATTGACCATATAATTGTGGGTTTATGTCTGGATTTTCTGTTCTGTTGTTTTTTGTTTTTTGTTTTTTGTTTGAGAGAGAGAGAAGAAAGAAGAGAGGGCGAACACCTGTAAGCTGGGGGAGGAGCAGAAAGGGAGGAAGAGGAAGAACGTAAAGCAGACTCTGTGCTGACGGCAGAGCCTGATGTGGGGTTCGATGCCGCAGCTCTGAGATCATGACCGAGGTGAAACCAGGAGTCAGATGCGTAACCAACGGAGCTACCCAAGTGCCCCAACATATGTGTATTTTGTGCCAGTCCCATAGTTTTGATGACTACAGCTTTGTTATCGAACTTGGAGTCTGGAATCGGGATACCTACAGCTTTTCTTTTCCAAGATTGTGTTGACTGTTTGGGGTCATTGGTGGTTCCATTCAAATTATTGGAGTGTTTGTACTCTTAACTGCAGACTTTCCTCTTTCAGCACTTTGAGTATGTCACGCCACTCCCTTCTGGTCGACAAAGTTTGTGCTAAAAAAGCAGCTGATAGTGTTATGGGGTTTCCCTTATATGTAATGGTCTTTTTTTCTCTTGCTGCTTTAAAAAATTTTTAGCAGTATTTTTTGCCATTGTAATTACCATGTGTCATGGTGTGGACCTCTTTGGGTTAATTTGTTTTGAAGGGTCTCTGTGCCGCCCGGATCTGGATCTCTGTTTCTTCCCTCAGAGTGGAAAGGTTTCTGCTATTCTTTCTTCAAATAAATTTTCTGCTCCCTTTTCTCCTCTTGTTCTCCTGGGATCCCTGTAGTGCCACGGTTACTATGCCTGATGGAGTCACTGAGCTTCAGAATCTGTTCTCATTTTCCGTGTTTGTTCCTCACCCGCTCAGCTTGCTTTCCATCTTCCTCTAGCCTGTGACCTGTTACACCAGGTGTGTTTTAAGTGTCATGTATTCTTGCCAACTGATTCTTTTTTATCTCTGTATTACGGGTCTCACTGATGTCCTCCCCTCTTTTCTCAAGTCCAGTGAATCTCTTTATGATGTTACTTTAAGTTCCTATTGGTCATATGTTTCAGTTAGGTCTTTTGTTGGGGTTTTGTCCTTTCATTTGGGACATAGTCCTCTGCTCATTTTATGTAATTCTTGGTGTCTGTCTCTGTGCAGATAGTCTGCGACCTCTCCAGCTCTTGAAGGTAGTAGGTGGGGTGCACACTTTCGGCAAGGTGGCCCTGTCCTCTTACGGAGGGGTGGGGCCCCTGCTGCCAAGCCCGGGCCGCTCCACGAAGTGTGCGAGTGGGATGGGCAGTGCCTGCTCTGCGCGCCGGCACTCTGCCAGGGGTGCCCACAGCTCCGAGGAGACAGGCTGGCCAGGGCCGCTCTGCAGGGCACGCGCAGGGTGTGCATTTTTTTTTTTTAAAGATTTTATTTATTTATTTGACACACAGAGATCACAAGTAGGCAGAGAGAGAGGAAGAAGCAGGCTTCCTGCTGAGCAGTGAGCCCGATGTGGGGCTCGATCCCAGGACCCTGGGATCATGACCTGAGCCGAAGGCAGAGGCTTTAACCCACTGAGCCACCCAGGCGCCCCAGGGTGTGCATTTTTAACAGGGAGCGAGCATCCTCCATGGGAGGTGACCCACGGCTGCTGCTGGGACCGAGGCCCTGCAAAACCTTCAGCGGGGACACGGCATGTTGGCAAGGTTTGCATGGTCTTCTGGGGAGGGGACCCGCCACACCAGGGCTGAGGCAGGTCCAGCTGCGGGGTTGGGGGGCAGGGTACCATGTGAGCAGGTTACGTACTGGATGCTGGCCCTGTCCAGGCTCTGCGTGGGGGCCGGGCGGGGCGGTGGTGCCTGCCAGCTCCTTTGTTCCTGGAGGAGTCTCCGGGGGAAGTCTGTCCCTCTGGTCAGGGCTCTGAGATCAGTGAGGAACTCGCTCTCCCATCTCTCTCAAACTGCCCTTGCTGCTTCTCTGCTCTCCCTCCAGCCTCTCCAGAACGGAGCCTGTTGGTTTTTAAAGTTCCAGGCTTTAAGTTCCAAGTGGTTGTAGGAACTTGCGAAATTTGGACCCCCTGGTTTGCAGAGATAAATGTTATGGGAATTCGTGCCCTGTAGGCTCCCAGGCGTGAGGATCTGTCGTCTCCCCTCCCTGTGTGCTCTGGTCCTTCCTTGCTGCAGGTGGCCTTGGCCCCTAAGCTCCCAACCACGTGTCCGCTCTCCCCACCCACCCTCATGTGTCATCTTCTCTCCATGGCGTTGTGGTCTTCGGGTCATTTTCTGGGTGACTTAAGTGGACGTGTTATCCTTGTGTCCATGCGCCAAGGTGCGCATAGGGCCCTTCTCTGCCATCTTCCTGGAAGTCAGGGCTGCACTTTTTAAAAAAAACCTGCCAGACTGTTTCTCACAGTGGGTGTACTGTGTGCCATCTGCTCGTGCTGGGAGGGCAGGAGGCTTCTGGGTCCTCCTCCTCTTCCCCAGCACTTGTTATGGAGGTTTTGATTCTAGATGTCCTGGATGGCTGTGCCTTTCGCCCTGATCGCTAATGAGGTCAAGCATCTTTTCATGTACTTATTGGACATTTGTATCTTTATCCAGATCTTTTGCCCATTTTTAATTGAGTTGTATTGTTTTAAGTGTTCTTTATGTATTTTAGATCTAAGTCCCTTGTTAGATACGATTCTGCAAATATTTTTTCCCCTTCTTGTGGCATTTTTTTCATTCTCTGGATGGTGTCTTTTGAAGTTTTTAATTTTGGTGAATTTTATATTCGTTGTTTATGCTTTTGGTGTCTATTCAAGAATCCTTTGCCAAATCCTGGGACATGATTTGTCCCTATATTTTTCTAACCAGAATTTTGTAGTTTTTACTCTATATTTAGGTTTTCAATCTATTTTGAGTTACTTTTTGTATAGGTGTAATGAGGTTAGGATCCAACTTCTTTCTTTTACGTGGACATTCTTGAACTGCTGCAAATCATAAATTTTCAGGCATCCCACCTTATCTAGGATATATTTTGTTTCCTGTATTTGGCTAGATTAGTCTTAGAAAAAGAGGAGTTTCCGTATCAATACTCATGGTATAGCGAGCAACCTTGTTTCATACCCTTGTTTAACTTTAAAATAGACCACTGACAATAGGTCCAAGGACCTCAAACAAATTTGGGATTTTATGCCAGCTTTGATTTGCCTTATAAGACAGTTTTGATCTTCTGCTTACTTGAAACCATTTGAAATTTTTTGAATGGTGAACTCAGCTTGAGGACAGAAACGGGGGAAATGATTATAGAAGCAGGAAATGGAAACTTATTTGATCATTATGATCATTTCATTATTTTAGCTTGCAAAATCCACATTACTATATGGTTTTATAGCTATTTTGGGACTATCTAATTTGGTTAATTTGGGCATCGCCTTGTGTTACCATCCATGGTAATTCATGGCTGCACAGGGAACTCTGAAAGAAGACTTTGTCCATCCTGAGAAAAGAAAAAGATAACACCTCTCAAATATAAACACAACTCAAACGAGCACTGTAGCGGAACAGGTCCATCCTCCTTTGAGATGAGAACAGCATCTGCAGTCTCCTACAAGAGAGATCTCGTTTATCTTTGTCTCGAGCACACTGAACAATTAATTGTCTTTCTAGAGCAACCCTGGAATGGTCCCCAGCCATGGATTCAGTCCCAGATCTTACTTCTTTGACAACCCTCGAAGATACGATAGTGATGATGACCTTGCCTGGAACATTGCCCCTCAGGGACTTCAGGGAAGGTAAGACCCTGGTTCGTGGTAGAGAGGCACGGTGAGGAGGCTGAGCACGGCACCCATGAAATCGGTTCAGTCCAAGAGAAAATCCCTGGAGTCGGAGGGAGGGTGAGGCACACAGGAAATGGAGGGGAAGCCCCTGAGAACGAGACAGAGTGTCACCAGAGTAGCGCCCCACTCCCAGGATTCTGCTTCCATAGGTGTGTGGCGGACAGGAGCGGTGGGAGCTGTTGGGGTTCCCTGGGCTCTCCTGTGACACTTCAGCCACCCTCCATGGCCCAGTGGTCATTATGTCCCTCCTCCTGCCTGTCTCCTCCTCCACCCTGAAGCTGGGCCTTCAGGGTGAGCAGAGCAGAGAGAAGCAACAAGGGCTGACCCAGGGCTCCCTGAGCTCCCTCCACTCTCTGCTTGTGCTTCCAGGATCTGGTGCAGTTCCTGGGCAAGGGAGGCTTCCGGCAAGTGAAAGCTTATTGTTGGCCATCCTTTGTACCTTTAAAAGCAGTCATTAACATTTTAATATAAACCACCCCCCAGTCCCAGGTGGAATGATACAAGAGAAGATAGCCTGGCTTTTCTGCTCCTTATTATGAACAGTGAATGTCCTTGGAAAACTTTAAAAGAGCTCTGAAAAGAGCCCTTGTTTGGGGACCCAAGAACAGAGAAGCTGGGAGGGTATCCTGCTTTCTCAGTGGACAAGGGAGCAGGGAACCAGAAAGAATGTAAGATGGTGCTTGGGGAAGAGAAAACGCAGCCCTGCACAGACCAGGCCGGCAGATGAGCAGAGCACAGACGTCTGGAAGCAGACCAGCAAACAAGGACTCCTGAGGTCCAGAGCTGCTCAGACCCTCACCCCAACACTGCTCTCTTACCCAGTTACCCCACTGCACGTCCTTCTGGGGCCCGTGGGAGCAGCCCTATCCCCCCATCTGCCCAAGGCAGCCTAGAGCCTAGTGCCCTCTCTCCTGAGGTAGAAGATCCCCCTTCCACTCCCTGCAGGAGGAGAATAAGGAGATGCACGTTAGTGAGTGCTTACTGTGTATTAAGGTACTGTTCTAAGCACTCGATAGGTATTAACTCACAGAAGCCCAGCAAGGCAGGTACTGAGATCGCTAGTATTCTGAAGATGATAAAGCTGACACACAGAAGTTATTTTTCCAGACGTACCAGATACGATTTTTTGGCAAAATATTTTGTTACATGTAGTGATTGGTTTATGGTTCTAGTAATACTATGCTTCTGGGCTCTGTGGAGCTCAGTGTTTTTTTGTTTTGTTTTGTTTTTTTTTTTTTTTTTGTTTTTGTTTTTGTTTTGTTTTGTTTTAGAGTGAGCAAGCCTGAGTAGGGGCGGGGGGAATCATAAGCAGGCTGTACACACAGAGCCCAAGTAAGGCTTTATCTCTCAAGCCTGAGGTCAGGACTTGAGCCAAAATTAAGAGTTAGATGCTTGATGCTTAACCGACTCCGCCGCCCAGGCGCCCTGAATTCACTACGTAGGTGAACTTGTAGCCACTGCATGTGGGCTTCAAGAAGCTACTTTAAAAACTGGGATTATCTACAGTTTATACAAAATCCTAGTTCTGTCCAACTAAAATAGAGATGTCATTGATAGAAAGTATAATGTTTCAAGTCACCAAACTATCTCTTTTTTCAAGTTTTGCTCCAGACTACTATGACTGGGGACAACAAACTAACAGCTTCCTGGCACCAGTGGGAACTTTCCAACCAGACCCAGTTTTGGATCCTGACAAACCAAGCCATGGGTAGTATCAGTCAACAATTCTGTGGAAGATTCCTCAAGTGAAGACCTTCAAAGAGATTAACTTCATGACCGCTGAATTTTTCTAAGGCACTTTTCCTTAAGAAATAGGACTTGGTTTTTGTTACAGGTTTCTAATGGCTCCGTAGGACTAAGCAATAATTTAGATTGATAAAATCTTATTTTAGTACTAAAAAGTGAGCCTGGCTGCCTATTTCAGTGGGTATAATTTAAACTTCTAAAAAAACTGTACTTTTATAAAGATGTATTTTACATAACTTAAATAATAATGCTAAAATATATACTAGGATTTTTTGAGAATGTTATTGCAATATATGTTTGTAGTTTGCACGGACTTTTATGCATAATCCACTTTAAAAGTCCACAGTACATGGTCTGATGGTTGTTTCAGGCTTTCGGACTAACGTATCTTCAGATCCTTACCTCTTCAGGCCTTGCAGGGGCTGAGCCGGGTAGATTCGAAACCCAGCTGACATCTAGAAAGCCAGTTTCGACTCCAGTGTTAAGTTATACTGTAGCAGATTATCAACAGACTACAGACAAGGTAATTGGCTCCTTCCTTCGAGTTCTTTAAGGTCCAGACGGTTGTTGTCTCAAAGAATCTAAATTTTGACAAAAATGTGGTACTCCTTTGAGCAGGGCCCTAATGTGTACCCTTCAGCCATAAGTGGATCCCTTAGAAGCAGAGACAGAGCTGACCCACACTGCTAAGCCTTCTCTGCCATATTCAGAACCTTTGCCTAGTTTTTCCGCCCAGGGAAATCTAGGCTCTGTTACCTCAGTCCTTCCCACAACGGCACCTTTCCCAAATCACGGACCGTTCATTCCAGTCCAGAAACGGAGGAGAGGTTCTCCGCCCTCCATCCAGCAGGCTGTATGCAGTCCTCAGTCTTCCTGCACTTTCCCACTGTATTTAAAATAACGGCCTGCATTTCTAAGTAGCTCTGAAATCAGGCTACTGGCAATAGCAGCTTTAAAACGGGAGTTGCTCCCTGGTACGCAGGAGCACGATTCCTGTCCCTTGGCCACGTGAAGAGGCACGTTCCAGACGACGGCTTCAATGAACTCAGCTGGGACTCCAGCCACGGTGCAAGTCTAAAACCTCCAAGATCTATCCAGGTACCACTGCCTACGATGGGAAACTGTGTCAAGGAGGTTAAATGCTCGGATTTTCTGTAAAACAGAAGGTACTGGAGGAAGGATGGTTACCAGAGAGACGTGATCTGCTCTGCCTAGGAAATCTCACCTCTCGGGACAGGAGGAGGAGAAGCAGATGGACAGACAGTTATGCTCTGCCTTCAGGATGAAACCCATCGCCAGTATCTCTTATTTCTCATTATGGTCTTCAGAAAGGATTTCTCTCTGGGCATTGATTTCACAGAGATCAAGTCTACTTCTCTTGATGGTGATTAAAATTGCCATCTCAAGTTGTAAAAAATGGCTTGTGACTGGGTTTTTCATTTGTTCAGAATGCCTTTATCCTGCATCATCCAACATAGTGTTCTTGCCTTTCAGTATATGGAAGAATTGGGGTCACGTGTCACTGAAAATAGTGACTGTCAGAGCAAATTCTAGACTGAAGCAAAATTTGCACTGATCATTTGGGTTGCCTTAAAATATTGTAAGTTGTTATTATTCTAAATAGCTTTAAGAACACCCTACTTGTCATGCTGTCTTTGTTACTAATACTTAGAATTTAAAGGCAGACCAAGCATAGACTTAAAAACTTTCAGTCATGCTTTCAGAAAGTACTTCAATTAGGTCATTCAAGGGTAGGTATATTTTAAAAAATACAGTAATTAAAAAATCACTAAAATCATCCAATTATTACACTCATGCTGTATCAACACATTATCCTGTTATTACTGGCAGGAAAGTCGCAATAACCAGCATTAAGTGATAAAAGCCATAATCTATTTTTATGATAAAGCTGCTACTATTTGAACTATTTTCTTATTGGAAAGGATAAAAATGTTCTAAGAGCTTATTTTTCTCTTTCCCTTTTTAAAAAGTTTTGCTTAAACACAGTATTGTAAACACATCTAGAATATTAATAGGATTGTATTAATCTTTTTCTCATAGTAAATGACCATATGTACCCTGTGAAACATTATAGGTATGGTAGGTATGAAAAGGGAAATTAAAATTTCTTCAGTTTCCTAATTGTGTTACGGTGTTAAATAGGTTCACTAACAAAACTTCTCCTTAATGTGAAATATTAAAGGCCCAAAGAAGGCAAAGAACAGAGATTACTGGTTGTAAAACACCGAAAATGTCCTTTTTTTTTTTTAATTTATTTGACAGAGAATACAAGTAGAGAGGCAGGCAGAGAGAGAGGAAGGAAAGCAGGCTCCCCGCTGAGCAGAGAGCCCGATGCAGGGCTCGATCCCAGGACCCTGGGATCATGACCTGAGCCGAAAGCAGAGGCCTTAACCCACTGAGCCACCCAGACGCCCCGAAAATGTCCTGTTTTAAAGCAACATAATGAAATTAAAACCTTGGTCACTTGAAAGTTAAAAATACATGGGGAAGAGGCAGTGTCACTGGAAATTTTGTACTAAATCTGATTCAACGCTAAAGGCTGCATGTATTTCTGGACACCTGCTGGAAATAGGCATAAAAAGGGTCTTCTGCAGGTTAATTGTGTAAAAGTGCCAACCGATTTGTGTAGATACCTTGCACTGGCTCTTTCTTTCTACAATTAACCCATTTAGCTGAGCCACTGATTACAACATCCAGAGTATGTTACACAGGGACCTGTGGACTGTGAGGAGTTCTTCTTTGACTTTCCCAGCACACATCATGGTTACGCCAGTTCGTTCTTGGATGCATCAGGTGTGTTGTTAAAACTATGCTGGTTGCCATGTCTAGCGGTGTAGATCATCAGGCACATTCACTAGTGTGTCCCCAAATATTCTCTTTTCCTAAAACCCATTAGAACTGCTCTTTAATTCCTTGAACACTTAATTCCTATTAAGAGGAGAACAAGCATTACTAAATTCCAGAGCATGAAAAGTGCTTAGAGAAAAAGGTTCTCATTTATATTTATAGTAGATATTACTAGAATTTTTTTTTTAGAATGAATCTTTTTTTAATAAGGGTAAACTTACATTAGAATTAAATGGGTCTAAATATTTGGTTTTTTAGCATTTCCAACTGGAGAAACTTTATTAAAAAGTCTTCACTTTAGGGGACTGTATGATAAAATCTAGACAAGTGCAGGTCTGATTGAAGACATACCTAATACACTTTTCCATTTTTTGTCCTGGGGAGAATTTTATTTAAAAAAAGTTCTAACTGTGCATAATGCTATTTAAGACTTCTCATGGTCCAGAGGAGCTGCTGGAAAGGATCAGGCTAAAAAGTGGAATTCTCATCAAAAACTCTAATCCAAGTGAGGAAACATTTAAAAAGGAATGAAGGGAGTGGAGTTCAGTCAGTGTCTACCGAGTGCCTACTACATGCCCGATGCTGGGACGACTAGGGGTTTACCAGTCTGTAAATTCAGCCACATCCCTCTTTTAACCCTACTTTAGAGCCCAGTAGGGATATATGGAAAGCCCTTGCACTAATGGGTCAGAATACCGGGAAGTATGCCAAAGCTGTACCCATGCCCCCAACCTAGATCTCTGTGCGGCTCTCTGCGCCTGGGCACTGAAGCGGGTTCCTTCAGTGCAGAGCTCTGCCTGGGTCATCAAGTAGGGATCAAAGTCCTCAGATTCAAATCCACTGACTCAGCAGCTCCTAGTGGTATCTGCCTGTTTCCTGTAAAGCCGGATTTCTTTCATCTGTTCCTTGACCTGGGACTGAAACCTGTCCTCTACTTTTCCAGAAACAGGTTAATACCCCTGTAGCCTCCAGACTGGTCTTCCCTTTTGCATCCTGGTTGCCCGACTACTTGGAGCATTAGACACGACCTCCAGAACGTATTTGCTGCCTCTGAACTTTGGTGTAGTCGGAACAGACCAAATGCCTCCCCATCTAGATTTGTGACTTCCTCCTCTTTAGTCCATGTCAGCTTCAACGTCCTTCCCTTTCTCGGAACCTCAATTTCCCATGAATCTTATTAACCTGCAACTGTCCCTCTGGTCCCTAGTCATGGTGTTCCTTGAAGGCATGTCTGGGTTAAACAGATGGTTTGCCAGGGCCATTTTGTGTTGCTGAGGATCCTTGGCTGTCCCTGTAATGAATTCACTAGCCCAGAGCCTAGGCTTTAGGTCTATAGACTCAATACCTACCCAAGGGAGAACACTTACCATTTAGAGGTATCTTCTGTGAAGGAAATCCATATGGAAAGTGACATAATGTACCCAGGTGCTGGCTGAAGAACTGCAGACTCTGACCCAGGAAAGTTAGTTGGATGGTTTTAGTCTGCGACAACGGGTTGGCACCATTAAGCTGACACTAAATTTCACTCACACTGAGAGCGTCTCACTGAACAGGTTTCCATTAGCTGTTCCTCTTCAGCTGCTCTGTTCCTCTCTGGTGAGCTCTCACTGTGAACCAGACCCAGCCTAGTTAGGTTACAGAATTCATAAGCTGCCTAATGGCAGGGATATCTGTTTTATTCACTGCTATGTTCCCAGCGTCTACAACAGTGAATGGTCAAATCCTGTTCTTGTGGTAGGCCGTGTCTTTTTTTTTTTTTTAAGGTAACTTCTTTCACTTGCACTTTCATCCACGGAGTATGGATTAGGCAACTATAATACTCATGTAAGGGCCTATCCCTGTTTTCTCAGATATCCAACTTTTGGGTAGAGAATTCATAATGGAATTAAAAAGGACATAAGGACTTTACATAAGGATAGTCTCTGGGAATGATCTGAGAACTCAATCTTAAAACAGAAGCACTGAGATAAAATTCTGTCTAAACAGGCACCTCACGTCCTGTCTCTGCCCTTGCGTGTTTGGGCACCGGCAAATAGAATCCTGAAATAACACAACAGGGAGTAAAAAGTAGATCTTTATCTGATAAAGTATAAATTAAGAGAATAGGGACACATTACAGTGGTTAAAAGTGCAACTCAAGAGGAAACACTGAACGGGGCAGAGTTCCAGCATGATCTATAGGTTAAAGAATTTTTTTTAAAGCTCATATGGAATGCTCAAGCCCAGCTAAAGAAAACGGCTTTTAAAAAGGGCAGTAGGGGGGCGCCTGGGTGGCTCAGTGGGTTAAAGCCTCTGCCTTCAGCTCAGGTCATGGTCCTAGGGTCCTGGGATCGAGCCCCACATCAGGCTCTCTGCTCAGTGGGGAGCCCGCTTCCTCCTCTCTCTCTCTGCCTACTTGTGATCTCTGTAAAATAAATAAATAAAATCTTAAAAAAAAAAGGGCAGTAGGGGTTGGAGAGAAGAGGGGACCAGCACACCAGATATTTAACCACAGACCCTGAGTAATTAAAATGGCTGTGGTCCTGGTATCTGAGTGAACAGACCAGTGAAACAGAAAGAGAACCAACCCCGGTGCGGAGCTAATGCCGTGTGCAATGTCATATACGATAAATGTAGCATCGCAAAACAGGGAGGATGGGACAGACTGTCCAGTCAACGGTATTGTAATAATTGGGTGACCACCTACGAAGCCTAATTAGGCTGCATCCATAATTTACACCCTACACTGAGGGACACACTCAAAAGGGATCAAAACGTAGATTGAAAAAATCATGAAAGCTCTAAAAGAAACTGTAGGTGAATTACTGCCATGAGAGGAAGGTGTTCGAACTATGACTCAAAGTCCGAAAACACTGAGAAACTGAGAAACTTAAAAAAAAAAAAATTGCATAACAAAAACCATCATAACAAGTCAAAAGACAGACACCAAACTGGGGGGGAAAAAAAATTAGAGCTCATCACAAAGGATTACCATCTGTAAGCAGTACTCCTAGAAACTGATAAAAGATCAACAATGCAGTAGAAAAATGGGCAACATTATGAACACAAGTAACTACAGTTGGATCTTAAACATGTTGAAGGGAGTCAACCTCATTTGTATGAAAAATAGAAACTAAAACACAATGATATGTAATTTTGTATCGATCAGAATAGCAAACATCAAGCCCGTGTCTACAGAAGTAAGGGGGTGGGTTAGCAGGTGCGGCCTTTAATTGCAGGTGGATATGAGGACCAGTAACAACTGCCTCTACGGAGGGAAATATTCTACTATCATGGTCTGTGACTCCAAAATTCTATTTTGGGGACTTTATTCTACAAGTACATATTTATGTATGTGTGAAATGACATATACACAAGGTCTGGAAATAATCCAATGCCCATTAATAGGGGATTGGTTAATTAAACAATTATACATTCATAGAATGGAATACCAAGCAGTTGCTAAGAAAACTTTAAGCTGTCTAGGGACGTGGGAAGACTACCATGAAAACTAGAGTAAAAGCAAATGGTATGTATAGGGTGCCACTCTGGGTAAAAATGAGAGGGTAAAACTAAGACTTTACATTTGTACTTGTTTGTATATGCCTAAAAATGTATGGATGGAAACATAAGGAACCAAGAACCGAGTCACGGGGCGAGGGGTTGGGGGAGATATGCAGTATGGACGAGGGGCCGAGGACAGGAAGACATTCCACTGTATAGCCTTTCCTATTTCTTGGTCTTTGAACCATGCGAATGTATTACCTATTTGAAAAATAAAGGAGATTTAAAAAGCCTTACGACTCTGCACACATCAGAAGATACTAAACGTCCCCAGTTTTTAGTGGTATAGTAATAAGCCAACTTATGTAGCAACACAGATACAGGACATGCTAGCTAAGGACCTGGGGTCAGACTTTTTGGTTTTTGTCTAAGATTTTATTTATTTATTTGACAGAGACACAGCGAGAGAGGGAACACGAGCAGGGGGAGTAGGAGAGGGGGAAGCAGGCTTCCCGCCGAGCAGGGATGTGGGGCTCGGTCCCAGGACTCTGGGATCATGACCTGAGCTGAAGGCAGCCGCTAACAACTGAGCCACCCAGGCGCCCCAGACTTTCTGGTTTTAAACTCTAGCCCCACAACCTAGAGTTTGTGACTACAAACGAGTTAGTCACTACTTACCTCAGTTTTCTTAAAAAACGGGCTAGTAATTATACCTGCCAACTAGTCCCACTAGCGCAGCTGTGGGGATGAAGGAACCCACAGAAAGCGCTTCCGACAGCGGCTGCCGACGCCTGCCACGGTACGAAACAAGCTCACGCTCCTCATGTACTTCCTCCAGTCTCCACAAGTTATAATCACATCCTCAGCTCCTGAGGGGGATCGTTTCAAAGGGGGGAGGGGAACAAGAAAGAAAAATTGCAGAAACATTTCACTCACGTT